AAAGTGTGAAAGAGTGTGAGAGGTGGGCAGGGGGCAGATGGTGGTCAACATGCAGGCCCTCTTTAGTCTGCTCCTTCTCTTAAGACCAGCGATGATCAGTCACTTCTCGGTTTTAAGCAGGATGTGACAAGATCGAATTTGCCTCTTCAGTAGTAATTCTGACTGCCTCATGGAACATAGATTGGAAAGTCATTAGAGTAGGTTCTGGGAGACATAGTTAAAATACCATTGTAATTTGGGGCAAAAGAAGCTTAGTTTGAACAAAGGTTACTCATTAAAATGGACTAATTAGCATCATCTGAAAGCAATACTGCGGGAAGATTCAGTGACTGACACTAGCACTACTTTGGAGTTGAACTGTTACTCTCTCATTCTCCGTGAGTGATATTTCTCCTTGAGTTGGGAAGGCTCTCACAGATAATTGAGCCCAGTTGTTTTCAGACCATTTCAGAAAAATACAACAGTCACCTTATTTCCTTATTTTCCCAAATAAGTCTTAATTCAGAATTCCCATCAAGAAAACAATAAAGAGTTGCTCTCTCGAAAGCTGGGCTGTCATTGTTCATCCGGCAACCTTCACCCACCTCTGCAGGGCAGGTTCCTGGCACCTGGACTCTGAAGTATTTGCTACAGACCATCCTGGACTTAGTCCAGGCCACACAAGGGCCTTGAACTCAGGCTCTCTGGCCCAAAACAGTGGCATCTTCAGCAAACCCTGAGGCTGAAGAATGATGTTCTCAGGACAAAGGCCCTGTTGCTTGTTCCCGTAAGTGCCCTCCAGTGTCTGGCATTGGGAGACCAGGTGGCCAGTGAGCATTTATCACACCACAGAGAAGCCAGCTGAATTCAGTATCATTCAAACTGATCCTTCCTTTCTTCTGTCCTTCTCATATTCCCTCCACCCTTTGTTTCCTTTTGCAACGAGAGGTGATTTCCACCACGACACAGTTTGTAGTCTAGGCAGGTCATTGGAACACCTTGGGTCATCGAGTCTCGGGGGAAGAACCTGGAAGTTACAGGAAAGGACCCTGCCTGGCTTTCCACTCCAACTCTTCCCTGCTGGAATAATTTTCAGCAAGTCAGTTAACACCTCTGAAAAGTGGATTATTTAGATAAGATGAGTTCCTGCTACCAGATAAGGTTGTCATGATGATTAGTGAGGCTAAGTGTGTAGCACAGTGCCTGGTACATGGTTGATACCTTAGAAATGTTGCCTAGAAAATGTTACTTTGGAGCCACACTCAGGCCCATTCTCTTGCAGATGAATTTGGTTTCAAGTCCATCGTGTCTACATAGTCCCCTTTTACAGAGCACCTGGAGTTCACAAAGTGCACCAGCTCAGCAGAGTCTAGCAACCTCTGAGTTGTTGGGAAGAAATTATCATGCCAATTTCACAGATGAGAACACCGAGGCTCACAAACTCTGTGTCTATTAATAGCAGAGACCAAACTCAAATTTCACTTCCCAGTACTGCTCCCTTTTTAACTCTGCACCATGTAAGGAGCTCCTGGTGGTGACATACTAAACAGGGACCTCACTTGTGGGTCCCCACCATCCCCCAAGGGTCCAACTACAGTACAATGGTCTGACACTAGGGTGAGCTCCTACACAGGCTAATGGAAATCACCACTTTATCTCTGGATCTCCAGAAGAACCTACTACTCGATGGTCATTCATCAAATATCTGTGTGGCTACTGAAAACATCATTGGCAGGTGTGATCTGGATTAGTCTTTCTGTCCTCACCACAAAAAGCACTGAGTCTTGGGGTGGGATTCTACACTTGAACACTCAGTGAGTTCTAAGGAAAAACTGAGTTTACCTGCATCAAAATGGCACTCTTTTCTCTACTTCTAGAGGATGATATATCTGCCTGGACTGGGTTGATGCCTGGACTCCAGAGTGGATTCAGGGATTCATTACTGGAGTCAAGTCCTGTATCTCAGCACACCAAATTACAGCCTCTAAAATTCTAATCCTGGTCCAACCCCACCCCCACTACCTTAACAAGCTAACCCTGACTTTGTTATCATTCTCAAATCAGGGTGTCAGGATGCCCTGCCAAACAAAGGCACATCTCCTTGCCGCCACATGCTGCTCAGGACAAGGTCCTTTACAAGTCCACCAAAGCCATCAGCAAGGAAATTCCAGGCCTGCCACCTACCTGCAGGTGATATCGGGCGAGTTAAGCACCTCTCTGCCCCTTCACTTCCCTCACCTATAAGAAAAATCCAATACCACTGGCTTTATAAAAATAGTGTGAAGAGGGCCTCCCCAGTGGCGCAGCGGTTGAGTGCTGGGTTGCAAAGCTGCCTGCAGCCTCTGCAACGCCGGTTCAATCCCCAGCCACCGGGTGAGGGTCCCACATGATGCGCAGACCTCTCCCACCGCCCGCTGCTCCCCTCAGCAGTGTACTTCATCAGTCTGCCTGCTCTGCTCTGCTCTCTGCTCTGGCTCTGGTGAATTCTCTCACCCTCCCATGCTTCTGACTGTACCCAGTGCTTGTATAAATAAATAAAATTAAAAAAGTATCTTCTCTCTTATTAAAAAAATAGTGTGAAGATAAGAAGAAAAAATAGATATTATCATCATCATCGATACACACTGATTTTACCAATTTCTATGCAAAATCTCAGTACCTGGTAAAATAACAATAAGAAGAATATATATTGAATTTTTATCATGTGCCAGATACTGTTCTAAGCATTTAGAGTGTGTTAAAGCATTTAATTTTCACAACAACCATATGATATAGGCACAGTTATGACTCCCATTTTACAGATGAGAGAATCAAGGCATGAAGATGGTGGTAAATTGACCACATTATGAAGTGGAGCAGGTGATTTGAACCTGGGATGTCTGACTCCAGACTCTTCACCTTTAGCCAGTTCTATTGTCTGTTATATTAGCCACTCAATAAATGGTTGTTACTTTGTGGGGACCGTTATGACCATCCTTAATCTTATTCACCCTACAAAAGGATAGTCACTTCTAGCTCCAGTTACTCAATTTGTCCTGTGATACTTAGTCTCCAAAAGTGACTCAGACCCCGCCTCCCGATATTCACATACTGGTGTCTGGGCTGGGGTTTCTGGCCAATAGAATATGATGGAAGTGCTGCTCTCTGGATTCCAAGGCTAAGACATGGGACGCCCCACAGCTCCCTCTTTGTCTCTGGATGCTGCCGTGTTGCGCGCAGCCTGGGCCACATGGAGAGGGCACGTGTAGACACTCTGTTGGCAGCTCCCACTGAGCCACTACTAGCTGACCGCCAGCATCCACAGCCAGGCCTGGGAGGCAGGCATCTTGGACATCCTCTGCAGTCAAGCCCCCAGAGGACTCCAAGCCCGCCAAGTGGACAGACCCCCAGCTGTGCCCAGTCAACTGACAGAATCATGAGATAATGACGAAGAATCATTCTGAGTCACTAAGTCTCGCAGTGACTATTGGCATCAACCATAACCAAAACCCTCTCAGCCTCCAGCCTGATAGACACTTCCATCAGGCCTTGAAACCTGACTACATTTTATAGGTAACTGCTCAGAACAGAGAAGTAACTTGCCCAAGGTCACACAGCTGGCTAATGGCAGCACAGGATTACAAACCCTTTAGAAGTAACAATACAATAATTACCATTTATGGGCCATTTACTAAACTCTCTGTGCCTCAGTTCCTCTATTCATATGTAAGATGTAGGAGTTCCTAGTTTATAAAGTTGCAGGGAAGAAGACATGAGTTCACTCACGTAAGATAACTGGAAGGGGGCCTGATCTTTAGCAGGCAGGCACTTACCGAGTATCAGCCACTCCCCGCTTCTCTCTACTCTCTTTTAACTGCATCAGGCACTCCACTAGGCTTTTTAAATTTTTAAATCTTAATCCTCACTGTGAACCTGAAGGCAAGTGTTATGATCATATTGCAAGTGCGGTCTGAGAAGCAGGGACTTACATAAAGCCCTGTGGCTGATAAGTGGTGGCACCAGGATTTGAACCCAGTCCATATGTAGCTGAAGTCCTGTCCACACCACCCCCTTGTGACACAAGCTGAAATCCCAGAGACACACGCAGCAGTGACAGCGCTGGCCAACGGACACCTTGCCCATGGTGACACGTTGTAGCCCAGCAATCTGCTCATTTGCAAACTCCCACTTGCTCAGCTCGGGTGTGCCAGGGTCCTCAGTGTTAGCACCTCTATCTGACAGTGCCCCTTGGCAGGGAGATGCTGCCACCATGGAAACCCTCGAGGTGCCACCACACAAAACTTGCAGAAGCCTCTCCTAAATGTCCTGGTGGAAAAGAACTTGAAAGACCTGGATGTGAACCCCGGCTTCTTCCCTATAGGTCTCCAAGAGAGTAGGGAACCCTAAGTGCTGTGGGGCACAGACCCTGTTTTGTCTGTCTGTTCCCCCTTGAATTCCCTGTCATCCATCAGAAAACTGTATCAGGAACAAGGCTGGAACTAGGGTGACACAAGCAAAGCAGCCAGCATTTATGGGGCATGTGTGCTCATTGAGCCCCTCTCCTGACCCAGTGAGGGGGTCCATCTGAAATTTTTCATGGCAGGTGATTCCTGTGGGTGGCTTCACTCTACTCTAAGCCCTGAGCAAATGCCTGCCATAAATAGTTGACTGATTGATTAGTATCTTCACCACGATGCTGGGATGCTAAAATCTGCTTTGCCAAATAATTAAAAAATCTGATAATCCATTTCAAGCAACCTGAATGCCACATAGCAGTAAGGTCTATTGATAGTTCCCTGCCTCAGGCAGATGGATTAGACAGAACAGAGGCAGAGAGCCAAGGACTATGCAGGAAAGTTCAGGAAGGAGAAATCCAACCAGTACAAACCAGGAAGGGAGTGTCAGAGACCACCAGGGGACTGTTGGTCTGCACCATGCAAGGCCTTCCTTGCTGCCACCTTCCAGTTCATCATCTCTGTTGCATTTCCCTCTGAAACGACCGCAGGTGTGAGCCTGCAGAGGTGGGGGCCAGGTGCGCTTACCTCTCTCTAGGCAGCTGGTGGTTGGGATTGTGGCGGCAGCGGACACTGAGGCCAAAGAGCTTGCGGGCAGTGCGCTGGATCTTTTGCCTCTGGGCCTCGGTGGCACTCTGCAGGAGCTTGTAGCGGTTCTGCAGGTCCCAGTCATTGCCCCAGTGCTGATGGATGCTCCCGATGGTCAGGAAGTGGTTGCTGGGGAGACGCTTCATAAAGGATTTAAACTCATCTAGCAAGAGACAAAGGCCAAGAGAGAAGGGCTGAGCATGTTGGCCCCATCAAGGAGGCCTTCATTGCTGAGCTCCCAAAACACAGGTCTGCAAATGAAAAGAATTTGCTTCAGGCCCAACTACATGCAGGTGCCTGCTGTGCTCCCTGTAGGCTTTCTTGAAGCTTCTTTTACTTTGTGGCTACAAGAGCAGAACTGCATCATGCCCCTCCCTCGAATTCAGGGCCATGCAAACCTCTGTCATTTGACTGCCACCTTTTCATGATATTCACATGACATTTGCATTTAACATTTTCTTTGAAACAGTTAAACCAATTTTTTTTTTTCAATTTTACATCAAAAACAACCATCACATGCCTTCAGCATCAGGTAGCCATAAAAAAAAAAAAACCTGCACAAATATATAATATAAAAACAATATTAATAAGTTCTAGGCAGATACAGTTGCCTGCTAAGTGATCAGACCCCAGTGCCTGCTCTCACTTTGAAATGCAGGAAGGTAGCTAGTGATAGAGAGGTGTGAAAGGCGCATTAGCATCCACTGAAAGGCTCTCTTTGATGTCATCTGCAGGTTTGACAGAGAACTGAAAGGGATCAACCTCCCCACTGTGTGATTAGTCTCATTTGAGCACATGTCCTAAGCTATGGCACTTTTGAGGAAACCCCAGCTTCCAAGATTTTAAATAGATGAGTGGGTGCAGGTTTGGAGGCACCCACAGCTCCCTGTAAGTGGCATGACCCTACAGGATCAGCCCTGCTGATGCTTTCTGTGCCCCAGAGCTGGGAGTGTCCTGGGGGAAGGCTCCTGCTTCAGTTTGTGGTGCTAACTTTCAGAAAGTCAGCACCTGACACAGCCTTAGAAATGATGTAGGTCAGCTTTCTTATTTTACATACAGAAATACTGAAGCCCCATGTAGGAAAATTATCAGCTGAAGGTAGAACCACATGTGAGTGACAAGAGGCAAAAGTAAACCCAAGTTGTTGTTTGTTGTTGTTTTCTATTCTAACTAATTTTCATCCCTTTCTTACCACCCCCACCCCCAATCTGCTCCCCCAGTCCTCAACGATTGGGAAAGTTAAAAAACCAAAACCAAGGGGTTGATTACACACACACACACACACACACACACACACACACACACACACACACACACATATATATATATATATATATATATATTTACACAACTCTCAGTAAGTACCAGGGTCATAGATACATGACTTTATAGCAATCTATGAGAGAGATAGTTTGACTGTCCCCTTCTTATAGAAACTAGGGTATCAAGAAGTTAACGGACTTGCCAAGGTCACACAGCCAATAAATGGTAGAACAGAACTCCAGACTGGCTTCAAATACTATGCTCTTACTTAGCATATTAATTACACTCTCTCTCAACACACAAAGACTATCAGTGTGTGGGGAGAAAAATAAGTAGATAGAAAGGGCTGAGAACAGGAGTCTCTGACCCTAGAGAACTCTGGCATCTGGTGATAGATGGTCAGACATCTGGACCACCAACCAGCTGTGCCACCAGCCTTCTCTCAACACCTCAGTTTCCTTGTCTGTCAAACTGGTGTAACAGCATCTAATGTGAATCTTGAGGAGAGGACAGAGGAGACTGCCTCATATTCCCCATCTATAGTAGGCGTTCCATGTGTGGTAGGTAGGACACCTCCAATTTTGCCTCTCTCACACTTTATGATCTTGGGTGACCACTTTCCTCCCTGAGACTCATTGTTTTTATAAACATGAAAAGTAAGAAATAACTTCACTATCTGAAAGGTGACTTCCAACTTTGACACTCTGAATGGCCATACTGATGGGCTCATTCAGTGAGCCATGGGAGCAGGGGCTGGCCCTGCTGCCGACACTGGGACACTCGGGACAGCCTCAGCCTCACCCCATGGAAGACATGCAGCCCATCTTCTGGAAAACTCTGTTGGCCTCAAAGGGAACAACAATCTTCAATGCACCCAAATTTGGATCAGAAAAGAAAATATAACCTAAAAGTTAAAAGGGTTTACCTTTCTTGAATAAAAGCAGAAGGGTTCTATCCTAACAAAGGAGGTGTCCACCCCCCTGTGTATGTAAGCTAGGTCCTATTTGACTACCAACACTCACTCATTCACCCCAATTCCCTGGTACTGAGTCATTAAGATTCTGCACTGGAAATGGAAAGGACACACACACACACACACACACATGCAAGCCACCTGTTCATGAACGGATGTGTCCGGGGGTAAAGCCATTTCCAATGGACAAGTATGGGATATTTAAAGCAAATGTGTGCTCTCAGGGAGGAAGTGTGACACATAAATCATTTCCATGACCTATCCAGTGTACTCCGCAGCAACCCACCATCCACTCAGCTGCTCACTCAGAGTGATTTCTCTTCCTTGGGAATGAGGAATATAAGCGAAGTGTCCCTACAGCCTGTGCACACAGCCTGCAGCCCCCTCTGCTTTTCAGCAATTAGTGGAATCTCTTTTGCAAAAGCATTTTCTCAAATGCTAGTTTTGTTGGAGGCCTACTGATCACCATCATACATTTCCATCATGAGCCTCTCTCTTCTGTGAATTCCCAGGTTTTCAAATGGACTAATGGGTACAGGTTCAGAGGCATCCATAGCTCCCTTCGAGTGGCGTGACCCTATCTGAGCAGCACTGCTGATTTTTTCTGTGCTCCCAGAGTTGGTTGGGGGCTTAAAGTTCATGGGAACCAGTGGCTTTCAAACACTGCCCCAGAGAACTCAGCTTTTATCTGCAGTATATAGCGACTCCAAGGTACGACTGTGTTTGATCAAAGGGTTTCGTGGCTGAAGAGTTAAATTAATTTGATTATTAAAAACACAAAAATGTCGTCTCACTTATCAGTGGATGGAACTGAGACTTGGGAGGGGTGAGTAAAGTGGAATTAATAGGCTGCAAAAGCTTCTATGAACACTGGATTTGAATCAGGGAATCCATTCCTGCTTCTGCCATTTACTAAGTGTGTCACCCCAGGGAGACACTGATTTTTGGCACCTTCCCTCCCCTGTAATGCAGGAATATCACCACTTTAATGCAGTGGTTGTAATAGGTTTAAAGAACATAAAGTTGTTTTAAAAAACAGGAATGCTCTACAAGTCTCGTCATTTATACAGCAGAGTTGAACTCATATGCTAAGTATCTACTTGGCACCACTTCTTAGAAGTCTCAAAGATCCTCAGGTTTTTCAAATATTCCCAAACTGAGCACATTCTCTCCTATGCTAAACTCCCAGGGTGTTGTAGCTCAATGAATGGAGCCAATGTCCATCAAGTTGTCTGTCAAACATCCCTAAAGAACTTTACTAATCTCATGTCAATATCCTTCTCCTCTTCTCCTGACCACATCAGCTCCCAACTCTACATATCACTTGTTCACAGGACTTTCTCATTCTTCACATACATAAATTAAAATGTCATCACTACTGCATGGTTGTGTAAATAATGTCTGGCATTTCCATGATCTCAAAGCTCCCTTAAGGCAGAGATTCAATTTTACCTCTCACACAATTTATGATCTTGGGTGACCACCTTCCTCCTTGAAACTGTTGTTTTTATAACCAGGGAAAATAAGAAATAACTATACTATCTGAAAGGTGACTTCCACCTTTGACACTCTGAATCATTTGGATATGTAAACATATGTCAATGTCTAGCTATCTACCTATCTCTACATACACATATGCATAATCTACCTACCTATCTCTACCTATACATATGCATATATATGTATGTATGTATTTATTTATTTGGAAAGACACACACTTGTACACATACACACACACAGGCTTTGGAACCAACACAACTACTGTTGAGCCCTCATTCTCAAGAAGCTCCCTATACATCACATGCCATTCCTCTGTCTTCTCGATACAACAGAGACACAGACTCACAGACTTGAGTATGCTAGTCATTATTCCACTCAGGGGACAGTCACTGAGTGTCTATACCATGAAAGCTGCTAGACCTGTCTCTGGACCCTCCAGAGAGAAAAAGTCAGGGTCATGTTCAGCAGTCCCAACACCACTTAGACAGTTTTCTAGATTTGCTTCAGGGCCACTCACACAGTAGTATTGATTTGATTCTCTACCTGAATTCTCCAGGTCCTTATATGCTTCGGCCCAAGACTTGGCCATGTTGGCCAGCGTGTACTCCATGATCTGGATGTCGGTGATGGGGCAGTTGCACTGCGGGAACTCCTCGGCACACTGACACCTGCACTGGCTGTTCTGGCACACGTACTCCCCCTCACCGTTGCACATGATGTAGCTCAAGGCTGACTGGACAAACTTCTCTTGCAGATACTGAGGGAAGATGATCTGAAGACCTGCATGGGAATAGCAAGAACGGGAAACAGAATAGTTAAAAAAGGTGTTTCATTAACAGTTTCAAAAGAAGGAATCTGAAGATGCTATCTTTCTCTCTCTGTTTTGGAACCAAATATCTCTGGGCCTGCCTAGTTCTGCAGGACATAGTTGGCCAGGCCTTTGGTTAAATTACTTCTGCTTCAACATCTCGGGTCATGATCTTGCCCATCTCTGAAATACTTGAACTCTATTCCATTATATTAGGACTGAGACTTGAGTCAGATCTAGTATAGACCTTTTCCATTTGGGGGAAAAAAAAATAAACCTTATTGAAAGCACATGGTTATTGTTTATTTTTCCTTATTTCCTTCATTTTTTTCCTTTTTCTTTCCTCAAATATTTATGAACCTTCTTTATGAAGCTCAAGTCCTGAGCTAGGCTCTAGGTCTATAAAAAGGCAGGATCCTTACCCCCTTGGGGACTTACAATATATTCAGCAGGGATACACATGGACACACAGGATAATAACACAGCTTGACACACCTCGAGCAGTGGGGGCATGGGAGGCTACTAGGCAGCAGACAACTGTGGATAACATTACTTTGAAAGGAGGGGAGCCTTTGTAAAGGAAATGGTATTTGGGCTGATTAAAAAGTGAGTAAGAGATCATCAGGAGAAAAAAAGGGGAAGCACATTCCAAAGAGAAGAACAGCCAGATCAAAGATATAATGTGTCTTGGAGTTAGTTGATTGCTACCGATTGAATCTAACTCCAATTGGTGGAAGGAGAACAGATATTTAGAGAGGGGCAGATTCCAGAGAGCAAAGGGCTTTATTCTATGCTACGGAATTTGGACTTTATCCTGTGGATAATGGGGATAATTTGTAGTTTTCAAGGGTAAGGATGACATAAGTAGAGTGATACAATTGAATAGGACCACTAGATTATAAAAAAAGTAAAATATTAGTGGAGGGTGAAGTCAGAGAGAATTAATTTATTCTGTTTTGTCCTAAGACAAGAAGCCAAGATCCACCAAGAAGTGATTTGCTCATGGTTAGAGGCCATATCTTGTGCCCTTTTCTCTATACTTTGTCCTGAGAGCCAATGATGGAAGAGAATTGATAGGCGTGAGCACTACCCGCATAGTGTTGAAATAGCAGCATAGCAGGCGATTAACTGGGGGATACAGATACAAGGGCAACTTTGGGCCAAACAAATTCCTGAAAGCATGTTCACCTGGGGCATTTCACTTTAGCTCAACTGAAACAGCTTTAGCCATCAATGCATATGGGGGTAATGGTTTTATTACCCATGGTGTCAAAGAGAACAGTGTTCTTATTTGGATTACATTTTTTCTCATTCATGCTTCAAGGACACCCCCAACCCTAACCCTACTTATTGGGGATTTGCTAAATAAGCTCAGCATTATCTCACTCTTTGTTTCACAATTCTGTTTCCACATTTTTCTCTTTTTGTCTCTCCCCTTCAAATTATTTATGTGTATATACACACACACTAATGATGCCCTGCTGCTTCAATCTGTCCTCAGAGGGGCATTGTGGGAAGGAAGACTATGCCTTATTTGGGAAACTATAAGGTAGTTAAGTGCTGGGCATTGCCAATCAGACACCCTTTCTTTTTTTTTTTTTTAAGATTTATTTGTGCATACAAGAACTGGGTATAGGCCAGAGGTGGGGGGGGTACTAGAGGATTCACCAGAGACAGAGTGGGGAACAGAACAGGCAGACTGACTGAAATACACTCCTGAGGGGAGCTGTGGGCAAGTCAGAAGAGGTCTGCTGTGCCATGTGGGTAGCTCCCTGGCCGGGGATTGAACTCATGCTGCAGTGGCTGCGAATAGCTTCATAGGTTGTATCTCAACCCCATGCACCACCAGGGAAGCTCCAGACACCCCTACGTCTTACCCATATCATCTCAAGCAAGATGTTCAACCTTGCCCTAAGGTTCCCCTTTCTCCTCTGTAAATTGGAGATATTTTTAGTACAGAGGGTTGTTGTGAGCTCTAAGTGGAAGAATCTCTGCAAGCTCTCTAGAACAGTTCCTGTCACATAGCAAGCAAACAATGAAACTTTTCTAGTCTCATTTTGATAAAGATGATGATGGCAATGATGATAGTGATGATGTTGCCACTCCTCAATTAAAGGTTTTCAATTTTTCATTGAGCCTTCAGGATAAATGAAGAACAAAAGCAGTGGGCATTTAATCCAAAGATGAACATACTAGCATTCAAGTATTTAGAGACTTTCACAAGAAGTAAGGTTTAGGATGCTGTGCCAGCAGGGGGGAGGTCTGTTCAGAATGGTGGTCTGTTCAGAATGGTGGGCCCTCTGTCACTATGTGTGGAAGGTTCTACCAGTCGGAGCTGTACACCATAGGCAGTGAACTGCTGTCATATGACAATGAGCAAGGGGCCCATAGGAGTTTGAGTGATTGCACTGAGGGGCTGAAATCCAGGGGTATGTCACAAACACTGAAAGGTGGGGAGGAACTAATCAAGCATTAAAGTCCCTTCCAACCAGGTCTACAATTCTTTCAGAGTAGGCACTATTGAGTCATTTTATCTGTATCACCATTTTCACTTTCAAAGCAAAATTTATTTTTAGCTGAATCTCAATCCCCTATAGGCATTTGAGTCTATGGATTGGGGTTAAGTTTCTGTTGCTTAAACGAACTCTATAGACTATACTCTCAGTCCTATTTTTTAGCTTGATCATCATTTTCTTTCTCTCTTTTGTAGGGGATAAAATATTCTATTCTTGGTCCCAGCCCAAAAGGAATTTGGGGAAAGCATTTTTAGAAATTTGCGTCAAATCATTTCTCCATTTGGCAAGGATACAAAAGGCGGTTTTTACCTACCCCCGTTTAATGCATCTGACAACAGATGAAGTTTGGGGTTGGGGGGTTTCTGGGAGCAGCAGAAATATAAAACTGGCTGCTCTTTAAAAATGGAAACTCAGAGCTGTCTCTGAGGCAGAATCTCCTGGGCAATTTTGAAAGGAATAATGAAGACATAGCAATTAAAAAGCACTTTTCTGCAAAATGTCATTACTGTTCAAAGTTATATAACCATTTCCACGGCAGCGGAGGTTCACACAGCAGTCACAGCCACAGTCTTCTCCTGGTGACCTGCATCCGACAAAGAGGCCCATTGCTGACCTCCAAGATGGGCGCCTGAATGCTGCCGGCTTCAATGGAGGTCATAAATAACTTGGAGGGGGATTTGGCCTGTGTCACCACTGTTTGAAAGATATATAGTTGCTGGCTGGGGGGAGTTTTCTGTCTCTACATTTCCCAAGACACACACACACACACACACACACACACACACAGAGAGAAAGGAAAACTGAGAAAACGTGAGGGGGATTGAGAAAGGCCACCATTATTGCTGAGCACATAAATTCTGCCTCACAAAACCTGGGAAGGCAATGGTTGAGAATTTCCTTTGAACATCAAATCACCCACACACAGCATATGGAATATTTCCCCTCAATCTCGTTATACTTTGAAAAAAAAAATTCACAATGACTCTAGTTCTACTTTAAAATGGAATGTTCCAGAGTTTGGCAGGTTGAGTGGGCATGCTGGTGTGGGGACACCACGTCATTGTCTCCATTTCTGAATTTAACCCCATTCCCCTCAGTCTTTCCTCCCATATCACCTTTAACGTACATATCCCACACATCTTTTGTATTTTACGCACAGTCTTTATGTGCCGAGATGTAATGTCTGCCTGTCTGTCATGCCACAAGCTAGCTCTCTTTCCTAACCTCCTCCTTCTCACCCACTAATATTTTCTTCCCTACTCAGGAGACAGTAAGCCTTCTACCCTGTTTCCACTTCCTCCACTAAGCCAGTCTTTTTCTTCCTACTTGTCCTTTTTTGCATCTAGAATATTCTTTCCCAGATCTCTGCCTGGCTCCCTTGTTGTAAAATCCAGACCTCCCCCCACCACACCAAATAAACTGTCCTTTCTCTTGTCTTTATAGAATGAGTTCCTGGTTCGAATTATGTTATTAATTTGTTTGCCTGTTTTTTTTTTTCAATTTCCCCCATTACAGAGCGGGCTTTGGCAGGGGCGGGGGCAGAGCCCTGTCTGTCTGTTTATGAATCCCAGAGTTAAATTAAAGCCAAGTCTAGTGTAGACACTCCGGACACTCACTGGTTGGGCATATGAAGTATCCACTTTTTCATGCTAAGTAAAAAGACCGCTGTCCCTAATAACTCTAAAGTTGTTAAAACTGATAGGGTAGGTAGCTCATAGCTCCACAACTAAAGTAACAGACCTAGGGCTCAGAATGCCAACTGAGTTCTGCAACACCATGGGTCCTTCTGCCTCTCCACTGGAAGGTGTGGAAACTGAGACAAAGTCCTGGACTTGGGTACCTGCGGCGGTTCGGATACAGAGCAGCTTCTGGTAATATCCTATCCTCTCTGAAACTCAGTTTTCCTGTCTATGAATTTAAAATCCCAATAACCACCTTCCATAACTGTCTTGAGGAGTAAATGAAGGAAGAAAAGGCACAAATAGCACTTCAGCCGAACCTCATGAAGTATTAAATGTTTGTGTGTGTCCCTGAAATTCATATATTGAAACCCTAATTCCCAGTGTGAAGATATTAGGATGTGGTTGGGGCCTCTGGGAATAATTACTTTATAAGGGCAGGGCCTCTACAATAGGATCACTGCCCTAGAGACAAGCGCTCTCACCTCCCCATCCCTGCCATAAACACACAGAGGAAAGCTGCTGTCTGTAAGCCTGGTCTCTACCAGAAACTCTTGTCACCTTGATCTCCCGCTTCCAATTCTTCTGAACTGTGAAAAATATTCTCTTGTTGCAATCATCCAGTGAGGGCATTTTATTACAGCAGCCTGAGTAGATTAAGATGTTGCATAATTATGTGTTCAATAAACGTTAGGTTCCCCGAATTCTGCCTCATCAGTTCATAATCCATTATCTGCACCAAACTTGAGTCCTTCTTGGAAAAATCCTCGAGTAGTC